ACTCTATTTCGGAAGACGAGAAGAAAATCGAGTGCAGACCACACATCCATAAGAGACGACGGCCAAGAGAAAAGCGGCTTTTTTCCTTGGCCGTCGTCTCTTATGGTGTGTGGTCTGCACTCGATTTTCTTCTCGTCTTCCGAAATCGAGGGTAACTTGAAAGTACGCTCAGTAGGGGTAGGAAACCATCAGGCAATTGAGCGAAAGAAAAAGTTCCCGAAAAATGTCGCACTTTGGGAGACTTCTCAGTTCAGCACAGCTTTTTCGTTATTTTCGGTCTTTTTTTTGTAGAATTCAAACCTTTAAAATCATATTACGGTAGTGTATCGCTTGCTTATATCGTGCAGGCTACGGCCCTATTTTCCGCCATTTAATGCCAATTAGTCCTCAAGAATTCACTGGTAGAAATGTTAACTTCCATATGAGAGCTTACAGCAGAAAAAAATGAACAAAAATGAAATATGGGTGATCTGAGGAACTTACATAGTTGGATTGTTTGATTTGTAGAGCTTGAGCACGAAAAAGAGCTGTAAAAGCGAGATGAAAAAAGCGGCAGTCGAACAGATGAGCACTGCCACATCCAGGGTTTCACCGATTTCGCTGGCCGTGTACTGGAACGACTCATTTAAAACAGTTGGTACAAAATTGTGTATTTTTTCTCCTCGGAGTTGTCTATAACGTTCCCGTTCACGTACATAGAACTCCTTGAAAGTGACGTATTTGGAGATGAGACCATTCCAGTTGACCTGAAGGAAGAATTGAAGGCTCATCACACACGAGACACCGGTGGCGACCACCATAGTAGTGAGCAGCCGTAAAGCGATTTTCAGCTGAAAATGTAAAATTTTCGGAAGGGCGTCATCTGGTAAAGACCTACAGAAAGGATACCTTAATTCTATCATAGTTCTGATTATTTTTATTGCTGCTGCAAGTGGTCGAGTCCGATGTCTGACTGGAAAGCATCTCGTTACTGCCGATCGAATGTGCCGGCTTCTTCAGAATCGACGGCGGAACCAGGGCGTTCCGACATGACGGCGAAACAGGCTGAATTATCACAGCTTCAGAAACTTGATGGGAGGATGAATGGGGTTGTTTATTGGCTAATCAAATCCTCTTCCATACTGCAGGAAAGAAAATCCCATATATTAGAAAGTAGGTATCGATTACCGGCACGCATCATTACTTCCCTTCTTTGGATGAATTCTTGCAACGTAAAAGTTAGATTTGGAACGGTACGAACAAGCCAAGATGTGACCAAGGACTATAAGTGAAATTAGAAGCAGATGTCTTGGGGGGACATTGAAGTGAGTGAGCCTCGACAGTTACCTGATAAAGCTCGGGATAAGAAGGGAGGGGGTACAAAGAATCCTGAACTAGCACCCAGAAGCAGCATTTGTTCTCCTCTAGCGTCCCATCCCCTCTTTCAGGGCTTAGCCTAGGTGTCCACCTACTACACTGTTTTGTCCTGCCCTGTTTTCCCCTCCCCCCCTACCTCAAGGACGTAAGCGTCTGACTATGCTATTCAATAAGAGGAGTAAATCGAAGTGAGCCATCCTAATTCATTAGCATTCTCATCCCCCAGCTGTCGTTTCCTGCACTTAAAGGATCCACCTCAATCATGAGGAAAAGGACCAAATTGGTTCTTTTGCTAGGTCTACTCAACCTGGCTGCTTTCAAGAACTGTAAGGGCACCCCTCAAAAGGTCAAACTTACGAAGATGTATTCAGATGCGCTGGGAACTCCTGGACGACATGGTGTGGACGTATGTATTTGGTAGGCCATCTGAAACAGGCTATCTTTGAGGAGAAGAAAAATAGCCGCACTTTATGGAGCAATATTAAATTTGAAGTGGACGGTGAGAAGACGGAGTAACGTGTAAAAGAAGAGATGTAAGGAGAGGTTCATTGCAAATAGAGTTCTTACCGGAGCCCCATTAGGTCACGACGCGACGTCGCGCGCCTTTATAGCGAGTCGCGTGCCAGTGCGGCGATAGGTTCGAGAAAAATCTTTTTCATTTTCTCGCGGCGTCATCTAGGACCATGCTATCTTGTCAAGTCCTGCTTTCCAATGTTTTCACGTTAGGAACCTCACAAGCCAAAAGCGCGATATGCGACAATTGTGCGCGTCGCCAAGATGTGACCTAACGGCACACTCTTATTTAAGAGAAACTAGGTCCAAAATCAGAGGATAAATAGGTAAAAAGTGATTGAACATCGGAACAAAAAAAACTATCGCGACAAGGTGACCGAACTAAATGGAGAACGTCACTACAATTCCTCGCGCTTTTGAAATTTCATTCTTGTAGAATCCAAGAAGCTTTTAACTGCCATAAATCAGACTTTTCCAAGAATTCTATGAGGTTCACCTCAGCAGAAGATCCTTGAATGGGTGAACCTGAGTGAGAGCAGGAGATTGAGAGCAGGGAACTGTTCATCGCGACTTTTCGAGTCCCAACGGGAGCTACCAAAACACGCGTTCATTTCTGCGCTTCGTGCCGAAAAGCAGAAGCTCAATGAGAAAGCATTCTGAAGACCAGCTACGCGTCAACTAGAGGATGAGTAATGAAAGGCGGAAAGTTGACGATGTCATTTGCTC